AACTTACAATGTCAAAGCAAACACAGAGCTCAAATTGGTGATCTTGAATAAACTGACCTTTCTACCTGCATTTTTACAAACATACATCATATACACAAGACAGTCAGCACAATAAGTGAAGATTCATTGTAATAAATGAAGAAAAAATGGTTTTCAGTCGTCAGTATCATGTACTATTTGATATAGTTCACTGTCAGTTCATCTGTAGAGGCTGTGTAAAAGGTGTGGATGTGAACACATTTTTGGAACAGAATACACAGGTAGGCATACTTGTGAACTTCTGAAGTTAATGGGTTGTTTTAATAGTGTCATTCATGCATGGTCTACCCTACCCCCTCCCCAAGTGGGCCCAAGGGATATCAACACACATTGCATGCATGAACCAGTGTGTTTCTTAATCCCCTATAGAACACATTTTCAGGATTCTAACAGAAGCAAAATACAAGGGGTACACCACACAGAATGAGCCTTAACGGACATGGTTATGCTCTAGTAACAGACCTAAACACACCCCTTTTACTCCCATTTAGATGCACTGACCAGTGTCCTTTACTAGCAATTTACAATTGAAACCACAAAAACAACAACTGCCATGATTTGCACTCTTCTGGGAGTTCAACCAGACAATCTTTTACACCTATATACACTGTGATTAATCACCAATTAAATATACAGCTAAACTCTCTGGAGATACTATGATAAATATTCTATCCTTACAGATGTGAGAAGGTGAAAAGTCATCATACAGACAGGCATCTCCCTACACTGGATGAAAGGCAATGTGCCAAACGTTTCAAAATCTGTTCCCATAGACATGCACTTTATAATCAATGGTTTAAAGGCACTTCAAAAGCTTAACAACAATCTCTATTTAAACACCCTAAAAATTCTGTCATTCTTTTCATAAAATAAGAACAAATATACTTTTAGTTAACTACAGCAGAGTTAAAATAACTACTTCAATATTGCCAGGTTAGAGTAATGACCAAGGTTAAGTGCGTTTTTTGAGTTGACTTGTATATGGTTTCTACCACGGTGTGAATAAATGCAATTCACCATAGTAGTCACGCATATTTATGCCCTGGCAAACACCAATTAAACCACCAAATGTAGCAGTCTAAAATTGCACAGTCATTGATAGACAATAAGCTATACAGAAATGGTGAAAGCCAGGTCACTGTAAATATACTGTTAGTCAATGCCTATTGTTCCCTATGCATCACTAGATTAAAATTTGCATCATAGATTTGATTCTATGGATATAATTTAGTTGTCTGCCACATTCATTCTTGGACATTACCTAATTTTCACTTGAAATTTATTTTGGGGCACAGAAATAAACAGCCAAAATAAGATCTATTTTGTATCATTTACATCGACTTTATCAGTAAAAATAAATGACACATGTTGACGCAGATTATGAGAGAAAATAAATTCAAACTAAAAAAAAAGTAATCCACAGTAGATTATTTGAAATTTCAGACACTGTCTTTATAAAACACAAATTAGTAGTATCAGTGATTATCTATTAACACACGTTTTATTTCAGAAACTGTATAGTATTACCTATCCCACAAAACACACAACTTAAGAATAAGAAACTAATAACAGGAGCCAGTGATAGCTAGTTTCCTGTGATTCTTTTCAGTGTGGGTGTGGAAACGACACAGCTTTACTGAAGACTATATGTGTTACAATGAGAGACACACCTTATAAATAGGAAGTGACTAAACCATAAGATGGACACAGTTTACTTCTATTGGCTTTCAACACTTGAAAAGAATTTCAAGCCTGGTTCCATCTCAGTAAAGCTGTGTGCTGGCTAAGATGATTAGGAAGAAAGATACCAGATATGTGCATCTGCCCCCCCCCCTCTCTCTCCAAAAGACAAAACAGTATTTTTCAAAATAAAGCTCTGCCAGACTATCTTGACAGTATAGTACTGGTATATAATATACCTAACTTTTTAACCAAGATCCCCCCCCCCCCTCTCGAAATACATTGTATTTACTTTACAAGAACTGGACAGTTGTTTTACTGACATTTCACCATACTTGTGGTGGCTACTTGTGTTATGGCAGAGCCTTTCATGCCTGAAATATGATAATCTTATTTTAACAGTGAAATAGCAATGGGATGGGTGCTTCTCAAGATTCTCCTGTCAAGGTGTGTAACCATCTACATAGAGAACCTCAATCTTTTGAGTGGACCCTTCATTATGCATTTGGGCAGGCACTGACTGGACAGCGAGACATTGTGTACCCAGTTATAGGCCAGACACTGTCTACACAATGAACACCTCCAACCCTTGTGCTGGATGAAGACAGTGTGAACCCGCAAACCATACACCAACAGTTTAGTAGCCTGCAAAAGCTGCAAGTTTCTTCGTTCTATTCTGAGTCACAATTAGTGAAAATCAGGATGCATTGAGGCATGCACAGCAAGTGGCTGGGTGTGACTGTCCAACCCAAACACAGAATGACACCCACAATTCTATCCCATCCCCTTCCAAACAAACACTACACTAGGCAGACACTGGGCTGTTTATAGCTGTGAGACAAAGAGAATATCTTCCAAATAAGGAGTTAATTTAACAAGCTGTTTTCATACCCTGGTGTACAGTTACTAACATAGTCAGACATTTGCAGAGAAGTTCAGTGAACTGATAAATAACAAAACCAGACACTGAGTAAATTGCACAGACTATATCACACTAAACTACTTACATAATAATTACCAAGTAATTCTAAATTGGCAGTAAATTAATCTGAATTGAATAAGTATTAACTTTATGAACAATGAAGCCAAGCATTCTATTACCAACCACTAATATTTTTAAAGGTGCCATCAGACTAGCAGGACAATGTTCAGCATATCATTAAAAAAACACAGCTAGTCCAGAGTTCCATGGGCTTAAAGTCTTAGAAATAGAAATAGCTTATCAATGAGACACTGATAGAATGCCCTTTGACTTTCTGTTTGGTGGGTGCGGAATAGTACCATGAAAAGGGAATGAATGAGACAAACCATGTAGAAAGAGCTCTTTACTGGACAAAGAATAATAATATATGTGGATGAAAGTAGTGTTAGGTCTTTACTCTGAGTTGAGCCAACAATAGATGGTTATTCAAGTAATTTGGGCCAATCAGGTCAGGTATAGTACAAATAAATCATATATCATCATAGTTAGAATAATTCGTTGAAAATAACTTTGATTAAAAAAAAGCTTTATAAGGTCTATAATTTAACAAGACATACTCCAAATAAAAGACCTTCAGACTAGTGTATTTGCCAGCTACCTGTTAACTTGACAGCAACCATTTTTTTTTTGACAGGCAACATTTTATCATTTTTCCCTTTGTTCTCAGGCAATTTTATCACCTATAATACCCAAAATTATCCTTTTAGCATATTTTTGATAGGTACTTAAATTTCTGGCTAATACCATACTATTTACTAATGCATTTTGATTGACTGTAGTTTATTTACTATTCAGATTAACAGCTTTCCAATGTAATGGTCTTCATACCATAGCTGTAACTGGAGCAGTTATGTGTCGTTGAACTTGTGTAAACTGCTTAAAACTTGCACAGTTACAGTGAATAAATACTAGGACATATTTAGCATATAATACACATTTAATATTAATGATTACAAATCGATATCCGTAATTTTCAAACAAATTGCTCACTTTGAAAAAAATTAAAAAAAAACACAAAAGAAAGTATTGCTAAATACTAATTTTGAAATGCAGGCCTGTCCTTGAGATTGGAGTGCTCTGTATATCAAGCTATACAGTGAGCTTTGTAACCTTATACATGCATTGTGCAAATATTAGACAAACTGTCAGAGCCTGGATAAGGGATAGACTGTACAGTACTCTATATGGGGTGGGGCTTTATACCCCAACAATCCTTACAATTACACCATTGAAATATCACAAATGATGGGCAAAATTTGACTGCATTATATATTGTATTTTTAAAAAAAACACCCTAGATAAAAAAAATAGTATTGTGGAGGATGATGGAATTGTTTCATTGATAGGATGAATGAAGCCATTATATCTTTTGTATTCTCCTGGTCATTTTGTGGTATCTATTTACAGTCTTGAACACAAGAAGAGGGTGTGTCATGTAGTAGACATGTCTTAAGTGAAAGAAGTACTGGCCTTCTAAACATAAAAAAACGCTAAAGTTCTGAGCAAACACTTCCTGCATGCCAAAGTGAATAATTCAGTTTTTTGGATGCACTTGAGGGTAAATGTACCACTACGTTCCAATTTCTTAAAATGTTGCCATCTGCATATATCATGAGACTATAATGAAAGTTGTTACTATGACAACCTGTTGCTGCAGATATCACAATTTTCAACTGATTCCACTTTCAGAGATTTTTGTTATATAATTTAATTGAATTACAAATGTACAGTGTGTCATGTTGATAAAGTATTATATACCTATACATTCTAGTCACTACCCCACCCAGTCAAAACAGATCAACCACTACAATAACATTGACACTTACAGTCTGCCACATAAAATACCAGTTTTCAGTAAACATCATGGGAGCAGCTTATAGAAATGACTTTTATTTAAGGTCAAATGCAAGACATAGTTTTGTGTTGATTCGTCGGAATTGCTATAGAATGAGCGATCGCGATGTTTTTTCTATTAGTCACAACCGCCATGTTGTTTTCAGTGCCATACGTGTTCTTGGTCATAGAGGCCCAGTTCAGTAAATAAATCAACATGTGTTCATAGGTGAATGGAAGCAGTCAGTATGTGGGCCTCAACTGGGATTTTTCCCTTCAAAGCTGCTGATTGATATACACGTACAAATTAGAGCAGCAAACTCGGTGGACGTCCGGCGTGTATAGGCGTACATACCGGCATTGTAAAATATGAAAGCTAATAAAACAAAATATTGCATGACTCTTTTAAAATACTCTCGGTTTCTCCCTCACTCCTCCCCCCGAGTAGAATACCAGACATACTTACCGATGTTAACAAGCCTGATGCCTTCATCTTCCAAGAATTTTAACGCCAGTGACACATTTTCTAGCTTCATGGGTCGCATCGTCGGCCGCTTGTTGAATCGGGGAATCCTCTTGTGGGAAAGCACTTCGACCAGCGCAATGAGGCGCAAACCATCGTTGTAATCTGTTTCCAAACTAACTATCTGTTTGTTGGCTACCTTCAGATGCTCGTTGCACCATCTTGTAAAAGTATTCTGCTGGATTCTCTTCCAGGGCGCGTCAGATGCGAGATCCTTTTCTGCGAGCGGCATCTCCTCCTCTTCCTCCAGTTCTCGTTTCTGGACGAGGTCGTCATTATTATTCATTCTGCCTTCTATTTATTCAAAACCACTTGAACAATGGACTGAGGGAGTGTTAACCTCCAAAAAAAAGCTTCCGGTGTTCCCCGGACACAACGTGTGTAAAAGCGAGAATTGGGGTGTCCCAAAACAGTTCGGCGCTGCCTAGAGTCAAATACGTCTTATGTGTACACACAATCACGCAGTGTCAGCGAAATATAAACTATGTGAGGCAACACTTTCCGATGAAACGGAGCCGGACTCTGTAAAATGAGATGGACAAGAAAGAGTGAGTTTACCGTGAGCAGTGAAAGTCGATGTAGCTTGCAATACTAGACGGCCATGTTTGTCTGCGAGACAGGAACACGGTTGTGTGCTGTGAGAACGATAGGAGTCCGACTGCAATGCTGGGGGCTGAACAAAATTGTTTGGTATGTGTGTCAGTCTATGCATTTTATGGAGCACCGTCGTATGACAGCTGACTCTAATAGGCCTCCAACATGGACGAGTCAACATGATTGGCTGTTTTAAACGAAATACTATACCACCAACGCTCATCGCTTTTACAGATGGCCCATATCGATATCGAAATTCATTCTAGCAGACAAGAGCCACTCAACACTTAAAAACGTCTTTCCAAATATGGGAACGGAAGACTCCTCCCAATGTTCAAATCCGTTCCGCCGCCATAAATTGAATCAATGATAAAACCACAAAAATGCGGCAATATCTGTTGGGAACACTACAACTGGAAATAGATGCGCCGCATCTTCCTGTTCAGCATGAAGAATTGCACTAATTCATTGCATGGCTAGGAATAAAATAGATATACCAGTAGCCTACCCACACTAAGTTCACTGGCCGGCCATTAGATTGCATCGTTCCGTAATTACTTCCCCGGTTCCGTTTCCGTATTGCATCCTCATGTTTCAAGTGACAGTTTACGACAGCGCCCCCAACATATCACATGATAAATCCTTTTTCATTTTCCTCTTCGTAGGTATTTTCGTTAATTTAGGTTGTTCCCCCCTTCTAAAGACCAGATAACGCATTTATCTCATTCACTAAACAATGATCTAAGTGACCACATGAAATCACAGTATTCACGCTCACTTTAGTTAAATCCACATAAGCGCGTGTTTCATTTTATTTGAATATATTTTGCTATTAATCATAGCTATCACAACTTTGGAATATTTTCGGTCGGTTTGGAACTGTTACATCATACAACTCTGTGTGGTATAATATACATATGAGCTGCTAAAGTCCGGGGCCATAGTTCACCGATGTCAACCTCGGAGCACGTGCCTTGAATAGTATAAAGAAACACGATGACTGTCATATCTTTCGATTGTCTCATCAGAGATTTATTGGAGCATAAAAATGTAGCTTATGTCATTTATAATTTGACCTATGTGTCTTTAACGTCGGAGTTGACGTTGATTGTCAGAATGAGCCGGGCGTAGCCGTCGTTTAACATAAAGTACATTCTACGTAAAACAACATATTAGTATTGAAATTTCATCCAGTAATTATTTACGTTAAGTTGACATCAAGGAGAACTTGATCAGTAAGGGTTACCCCAAAATGTGTACATGGTGAATTCAACCAGTAAGGGTTACACCAAAATGTGTCCACGGAGAATTCAACCAGTAATGGTTACACCAAAATGTGTCCACGAAGAATTCAACCAGTAAGGGTTACACCAAAATGTGTCCACGGAGAATTCAACCAGTAAGGGTTACACCAAAATGTGTCCACGGAGAATTCAACCAGTAAGGGTTACCCCAAAATGTGTCCATGGAGAATTCAACAAGTAATGGTTACATTAAAATGTGTCCATGGAGAATTCAACCAGTAATGGTTACACCAAAATGTGTCCACGGAGAATTCAACCAGTAAAGGTTACACCAAAATTTGTCCATGGAGAATTTAACCCGTAAGGGTTACACCAAAATGTGTCCATGGAGAATTCAACCAGTAATGGTTACATTAAAATGTGTCCATGGAGAATTCAACCAGTAATGGTTACACCAAAATGTGTCCATAGAGAATTCAACCAGTAATGGTTACACCAAAATGTGTCCATAGAGAATTCAACCAGTAATAGTTACATTAAAATGTGTCCACGGAGAATTCAACCAGTAAGGGTTACACCAAAATGTGTCCACGGAGAATTCAACCAGTAAGGGTTACCCCAAAATGTGTCCACGGAGAATTCAACCAGTAAGGGTTACCCCAAAATGTGTCCACGGAGAATTCAATCAGTAAGGGTTACCCAAAAATGTGTCCATGGAGAATTCAACAAGTAAGGGTTACCCCAAAATGTGTCCATAGAGAATTCAACCAGTAAGGGTTACCCCAAAATGTGTCCATGGAGAATTCAACCAGTAAGGGTTACACCAAAATGTGTCCACGGAGAATTCAACCAGTAAGGGTTACCCCAAAATGTGTCCATGGAGAATTCAACCAGTAATGGTTACATTAAAATGTGTCCATGGAGAATTCAACCAGTAATGGTTACACCAAAATGTGTCCACGGAGAATTCAACCAGTAAAGGTTACACCAAAATTTGTCCATGGAGAATTTAACCAGTAAGGGTTACACCAAAATGTGTCCATGGAGAATTCAACCAGTAATGGTTACATTAAAATGTGTCCATGGAGAATTCAACCAGTAATGGTTACACCAAAATGTGTCCATAGAGAATTCAACCAGTAATGGTTACACCAAAATGTGTCCATAGAGAATTCAACCAGTAATAGTTACATTAAAATGTGTCCATGGAGAATTCAACCAGTAATGGTTACACCAAAATGTATCCATGGAGAATTCAACCAGTAATGGTTACACCAAAATGTGTCCATAGAGAATTCAACCAGTGATGGTTACATTAAAATGTGTCCATAGAGAATTCAACCAGTAATGGTTACACCAAAATGTGTCCATAGAGAATTCAACTAGTAATGGTTACACAAAATGTGTCCATAGATGATGAAC